TTTAGGATGGAGGGAGGGATTTATTTTTCTAAATGTTGAAACCAGAAATGAGAAAATTACTGGTTTAACCTGTTATCAAAATATTACTGGTAACCCTGTTCTCAAAATATTATAGGTAACACTGTTGTCAAGATATAGCAGATGCTCCTGTTATCAAAAAACTACTGGTAACCCTGTTTTCAAAATATTACAGGAATCGTTGTTATCAAAATATTAAAGGTAACCCTGTAATCAAAATATTAGAATAACCCTGTTATCAAATTAATGTAAACGGGCACCCTGTTACTGAAAAAAACTTAGTAGAGTAAGTTGGGGTCCATTTAAAGAAATCCAGTTCCAAGTCTGATAAATCTTGGAACTGAATGTATTTTGTACATAACTCCATTGGTTGGTTCATATATCATTGATAATGATGTTTACTAACAAGAGGAATAGACAAAACTAGCTGATGTCTAGAAACTAGAGAAGATCTAGACAGATCTAGTCCCAACCTATCTAGATACTAGACAGAACTAGTCTCTACCTATCTAGAAACAAGAGAAGATCTAGACAGGACTAGTCCCTACCTAACTAGATACTAGACAGAACTATTCTCTACTTATCTAGAAACTAGAGAATATCTAGACAGGACTAGTCCCTACCTAACTAGATACTAGACAGAAATAGTCTCTACCTATCTACAAACTAGAGAATATCTAGACAGAACTAATCCCTACCTATCTAGATACTAGACAGAACTATTCTCTACCTATCTAGAAACTAGAGAAATCTAGACAGGACTACCTATTCAACTTAGTTTTGTTCAAATATAAAAATCAGAATTAACAAATTATCTAGTATCATTCGAGGTTTAATAACAAAATCAAAGGTTGGACTAGTAAGGACTAGATAGGACTAGTAAGGTTGTTAGGAAGACAGAAATACTAATATTAATATCTTTTTGATAACTGTTTTGATGACTAAAGTTAAAAGGAGTTTTGGTATTGTTTACTAGACGATCAGGTTTAATGGATATTTTCTACAATTATAGATAGATAGATACAATGATAAAGAGACTCGATCATTACGAACATGAACATTTTGTCCAAAAATACTTCATTTCATACTTCCTAACCAATGCTCCAGCTGTGGGGTTGAAACTTTCCAAGTCAAGAAATGTGATTTATTGATTACCTATCAACTCTTTCTTTTCATGACACTCTCCTGATTTCCTAGATCTCCACCATTCATCATTTATCTAAACTATACCCAGTATTGATATATAGACAATATAATCCTGAGCCTGGGAATATTTTCTTGTCCACAGATTACACAGACAAGCGGCATAGTCTGTGTTTAATGTAGAACAAGGAACGTATTACTAATCTCAAAATCTAATCTTCTTATCCCTGTATATATCTTCAATAATTCAATTAGATTATAATTTTGATTTTGCAGAATTCGAAGGTTGAAATATCATGTCAGGTTGCAAAAATGCAAGGGTCAGAAAATCAGAACTGAGGCTAGAGTAATCAGTTCCTTTGTTTACAATCACCTTTGACAGTACAGTAGAGGGCTTCCTATATTGTCTAATTTAGTCCTTGTACCTTTTATTATTTAATAATTACTTTTTCCTCTGTCTGTCTGGATTCTAAGGTTAAAAACAATAAAGCCAGGATCAAAGCTCTTTGCTGGCGGTAAACAGCTTAAAGGCACCCGGCGACACACTTAAAAAAAGAAATCATATTGTTAAAGGGAGTGACTGGTGTTCCTTTTTAAGGAGCAGTGACCTCAACCATGAGAAAGCCAGCACAAAGCTATGCGCACCTTTTGTGGAGGGAGGGCAGGCAACCTTCCCTTTACAGCTTCCGAAACTCATTTTACCTGGTTGCGGCATTGCGCGTCCTAAAAGGGCTTCCGAACCTCCCCCAAAATAGTCTTCTGGGAATGATCTTTCGTTTATAATCGTCAATTTAAATGTAGTTTTAAAAAATTTCGCATTCTAACTGTGTTATGGCGTCAGAAATTACTAAAATTATATTTTCCCCTGATAAAGCAAAAGATTATTTATTGATAATTTTTTTCAACAAATCTTGGAATGGCTGGGGATTTTTTAGGAATAGCTTTTACTTTAAAGTAGAAAAATAAGAAATATTCTTCATAAAATGTAGATTCTAAATAACATCGCGAATTTTTCATTTTCTTTCTAGTTATTGAGATATTTCTTTTTAACAATTAAAATTTTTTTTATTTGGATTGATTTTCATTTTCCACACATTTCTGGCATTTACAAACTCTATCAAATAAAGGCTTCATTTCCTACCTTTCAGCTTTCACCTTGTTTTATATCCTTTCTTTTAGTCATTCCTTTTACAATAACTACATTTGTTAAATCTGTTAAAAAAATCTATTTAACTCTGTTAAATACATATTAAATGCATGCTAACATATAAAATAATAATTTTACTCTAACAGGAAAAAGATGTAACTTTTTTTAATCTTTAGGAAAAACTACTCTGCAGAACTTTTAAATAATTTTGTCTTTGTTATTCTAATTTCTAGAGTTCTGTACAGACTGATATTTTTGTAAAATTTTCTTGTAGTACATTAAGATCTTGAATAAATCTAATATGGAAATGACATTATTAAGAAATGAAAATGTATTCTTCGTAGCTGGATGGATGTCACAGCCTGACATGGGATCCATCTTTCATAGAAAAATCCATGAAATATTCTGGTCATAAGAAACTATTATGTGAATTATCAAAATTATCAAAATTAAATGTTTTCAATCTCCTCGAATACTAGAGGAACACTGATGCATCTATTCTTGTTTACAAATACCACCCAAAGAGATCTGTTTTCAATATGTACGCAGAGAATACGCAACCTCAATTAACATTCCTTGCCTTATTACCTTGAGTTGCACTAGGAAAATATTATACATAGACTGACTACTAGCTAGGTATGGAAGTTGAACTGATACTACAGTAATATAAAATATACACGTTAAATTAAATACCTAATAAACGATTATATATGTTCTATTATTGTTAAAAAAACAAAAACTCGGTCTTTAAAAATCACGAAGCTGGATAATTCCGGGGGTTTGGTTACAAGTTGGATTTAACAAATCATTTAATAACCTGGATTTAAAACGTAATGAAAATTCTTCTATAAACCGTTTATGAACGTATTTTTTATATTATTGACGAAACCATACTAAACATACGTACAAAATGACCACAAACATTATTTGCATTTTGTATTTTGAATTTTGACTGAAAAAACTTCTCTTTTTGAAGTTAAAAGGATATCTAGGACAGAAGAAACACAAATTCTAACTTAAAGTTTAGTAACATCTTAATCTATCTAAAAACCAAGTTATGTAACTAGGATGTAAAATATTTGTACTCTGCTCTAACCACGGTTTCAACATTTCTTATCTAACCTTATATTTCAGGCGGAGAAGAAAGGATGATTTATGCTGCTCCACTTAGTTCAGGAATAGAAATTTAACCAAATTTATCTTCTGTAGAAATACATGTTTCTTTGTTCGCACATTTTTAATTTTCTTTTATTCTAAACTTAATCCAAACAGGGGTTTTTATATTCTCAGTGTAGCCAGCGTCCACATATATATTCCTGTTTGAATCCACATATTCCTGTTTGTATCCACATATTCCTGTCTGTATCCACATATTCCTGTTTGTATCCACATATTCCTGTCTGTATCCACATATTCCTGTTTGTATCCACATATTCCTGTTGGAATCCACATATTCCTGTTTGTATCCACATATTCCTGTTTGAATCTACATATTCCTGTTTGTATCCACAAATTCCTGTCTGTATCCACATATTCCTGTTTGTATCCACATATTCCTGTTTGTATCTCTACATATTCCTGTTTGTATCCATATATTCCTGTTTGTATCCACATATTCCTGTTTGTATCCACATATTCCTGTTTGCATCTCTATATATTCCTGTTTGTATCCACATATACCTTTTTGTATCCACATATTCCTGTTTGTATCTCTATATATTCCTGTTTGTATCCACATATTCCTGTTTGTATCCACATATTCCTGTTTGTATCCACATATACCTTTTTGTATCCACATATTCCTGTTTGCATCTCTATATATTCCTGTTTGTATCCACATATTCCTGTTTGTATCCACATATTCCTGTTTGTATCTACATATTCCTGTTTGTATCTCTACATATTCATGTTTGTATCTCTACATATTCATGTTTGTATCTCTACATATTCCTGTTTGTATCTCTATATATACCTGTTTGAATCCACATATTCCTGTTTGTATCTCTATATATACCTGTTTGTATCCACATATTCCTGTTTGTATCTCTATATATCCCTGTTTGTATCCACATATTCCTGTTTGTATCTCTACATATTCCTGTTTGTATCCACATATTCCTGTTTGTATCTCTATATATCCCTGTTTGTATCCACATAATATCCATATAATCTGGTATTCATGGATAAAAATATCCATTAAGAATCATATGGACTAGTGTCCTTGGACAAAAATTTCCATAAAGATTAAATATCCTATGGGCAGGTATCCACGGATAAGAATATTCATAAGGACTATTTTCCTCTAATAAAATATCCTTAAGGATGGGCATCCACGGATAAAAATGTCCTTAAAGACTATTATCCTTGGATTAAATATCCACATGGACGGGCATCCATGGATAAATAAATCCTTAAAGACTATTATCCTTGGATTAAATATCTTCATGGACGGGTATCCACGGATAAAAATAATCTCCATTAAATTCACTAGTTTCTAAAACTTTAGTTGAAATAAATCTAGCACGTGATTGAAATATTGAAAACCTCGAAAAAGAAAAATAAACATTTCTTTCCTCGCAAACATTTTATTTCCCTAATCCGATAACACTATGTACGCTGTCCAGGGGGGATTTATAAAAAAAAAATGGAATAGAATTATATTGTTACTATTTCTATCCTCAGTGCATGAATATGAGAAATGAGACAAAGAATCCTTCAAATGAAATAAGACAGCCGACATGTTCCCTAGTATAGCTGTAAGGGTGGAGGAGTTCCAAACCTTCAGGAAGAAATAAATATGTCCTCTTAAACACTAGTATAGCTGTAAGGGTGGAGAAGTTCCAAACCTTCAGGCAGAAATAAATATGTCCTCTTAAACACTAGTATAGCTGTAAGGGTGGAGAAGTTCCAAACCTTCAGGCAGAAATAAATATATCCTCTTAAACACTTCAGAACAGAAAGGTGACTAAAATTGTAATGAATCATTTTGGATTGATTTTTTTCTTTCATCTGATAAAATATATAGTAAAAATATATATATATATTGTATCTAGTATCTGGCATCTAGTAATTAGTATCTAGCATACACCATACAGTATCTAGTATCTAGTATCTAGTATCTAGTATCCAGTATCCAGTATCTAGTATCTAGTATCTAGTATCCAGTATCTAGTATCCAGTATCCAGTATCTAGGATGGATGCGGAGAACAGGGTTGTGTTGAACTGTGGAGGTATCAGACATGAAGTATACAAGGTAAAAGAATAAATGAATTAAGTAAAGGATAATGGTGTCATGAAAAGGACAAAAAGAGATCTAATGAAATTTATTTTACTTTAATTCACTTTTTATCTGATTCTGAGCTTGTTTAATTTTTATCTAACTTTTCACTTTCGTTTATCTATCTATCCATCTAACTATAAAGCAATAATCAGAGCAGCTTCTCAGTTTTTATATTTATTAATAAAAATTGTTTCGGATTGCTCCTCTTCAGTTAATAAACTCTTTCCATCTTTATATATATATATAACTTGCCTGTCACAACCAGAATAATGTTTACAGTTTCCGTAAGAAAAACAAGATTAAGGAGAACCTAGGCTTTTCTCTTTAATCAACTTATCTGGGGATTATATTTCTAACAAATTGAAGAAAAAAACATTCCAAGTATGTTTTGCAATATGCAATGCGTGCAACTACATAGTTTCTATCTAATCATATCAAAGCTCCAACCAAGGATTATATATATTGTTTCATCTATAGCTCTTGCTAACTATTTCTAGAATATTTAGTTCTATGTTAGATATATATATCAAATATAAACCCCAAGAACTATTTGAACTGAGCTAGAATTGTGAATATCGAGATCAATGCTTGATTTTTTCTTTTATATTAATCTCAAGATTAATTAAATCTTTAGTTTTTATCCAGAAAAGTTTATAAAATATATTATAGAATACCGAACAGCCAATCAGAAGCCAAAAATTTGAAATTTTGCGCGAGAGCGCATTTAGCAATTTAGCGATCGGGATTAAGGGTTACCAATTATAAAGTTCCTAGCTCTATCAGCAGATTGTTTAATCTCCGAGCACATGAACATGATGAAACTTTAGACAATTTAAGTCAACTAATATCAGTTTTAATCAAAACTTCGGAATTTTTAATCCTGATCAGGTCGAAATGAGAAATATTATCAAAACAGTAGTTCTTATTTCAATTTCCTTTAAATTCAATCATGGAATGAAACACCGAATTCAAGGAAGAAATGAACTGTGTACGTTGGATTCAAAATTTAAACAATTCTAAACCTGATTTCTCTTAATTATATGAATTCTTAAACAATTCTTTTATTTAAGCTAAGTTAGAAATGGTCAGGTTCAGAAAAGTGATGTTAGATAAATAATTTATGTTCTAGGCAACCTTGAAGAAGAATTTATGTTCTAGGCAACCTTTAAGAATATATTTATGTTCTAGGCAACCTTGAAAAAGATATTTATGTTCTAGGCAACCTTTAAGAATATATTTA